ACTTGTGCCGTTATTGAGTGAAAAGTTCTAAAAGACACAAAGTGCTGTTATCGAAATATAATTTGCTCATGAGAAAAGCACAAGTGCCGTTACTATAAAGAAAACGACACTTGTATCGTTCTGTCGATAAACATGACTATATAAAGTCATGACCCATTCATTGGAACGACACAAGTCTCGTTAAACGTCGCTTGTGTCGTTCTGTCTTTAAATACTAGTATGAGTCGCCATAACTCGTCCGATCCCCGATAATTGATGACTTGAACTAATTTAAATTGCAAGATGGACACGTTGTGTACAAAGTTTGAGAAATGTGCTCATTAATTATATTTTCTAACGAATTAGAGAACTACTTGTAATTTCTCCAACTCTACATCGTATAATCTATGTGAATTCTACCGTTATTTGTCACATGATCAACATTTTTTATTTTCTTAAGTTAAGGGTTCTAATACTTGAGGTCGTTGTAGTGGAAAAGATGCAAAATATTGGAAAAATCATCGGAACGGCACAAGTGCCGTTAAATGTCACTTGTGTCTTTCTGTCTTTAAACAGAAATATGAGCCTCCATGACCCATTCTATCCTCGATAATCGATGATTTGAACTCATTTTAGTTGCGAGATGGACACGTCGTGTGCAAAGTTTGAGAGAGGTGCTCATTAATTATATTTTCTAACAAATGTAGATAATGACTTGTGATTTTCCAACTATACATCATATAATCTATGTGAATTCTACCGTTATTTGTCACATGGTTGACATTTCTGATTTTCTTAAGTTAGGGGGTCTAATACTTGAGGTTGTTGTAGTGGAAAAGATGCAAAATATCGAAAAAATCATCAGAATGACACAAGTGCAGTTAAACGTCACTTGTGTCATTTTGTCTTTAAACTCTAACATGAGTCGCCACGACCCGTCCTATCCTCGACAATCAATAATTTGAACTCATTTCAGTTACGAGATGGACACGTCGTGTACAAAGTTTGGGAGATTTGCTCATTAATTATATTTTCTAACGAATCAATACAATAAGTTGTGATTTCACCAACTTGATATCATATAACCTATGTCAATTCAACCGTTCTTTTGTCACGTGATCAACTTTTCTGACTTTTTAAGTTAGAGGATCCAAGGTTTGAGATCATTGCGTTGAAAAATAAGCAAAATATTTGAGAAATCAACAGAATGACACAAGAGCCGTTAAATGTCACTTAGGTCGTTATGTCTATAAACATGAGTATATGCAGCCACGACTCATCTATGCCCTAAAAACCAATCATTTGATTTAATTTCAGTTGAAAGATGGACATGTCATTTACAAAAGTTGAGAGATATGCTCATGAATTATATTTTCTACAAATCAATACAATGGCTTATGATTTCACCAAGGCTTATGATTTCACCAACTCGATATCGTATAACTTATGTCAATTCGAACTTTTTTGTCACATGATCAACCTTTCTAACTTTCTTAAGTTCGGGGATCCAAAGTTTGAGGTCTTTGAGTTAGAAAATAAGCAAAATATTTGAGAAATCAACATAACGGCACAAAAGCCATTAAACGACATTTCTGTCGTTCGTCTATAAACACAAGTATACGCTGCCACGATCCATCCATTCCTCGAGAACCAATAAATTGAACTCAATTAAGTTAAAAGATGAGCGTTCCATTTACAAAAATGTGAGATCTGCTCATTAATTATATTTTCTAACGAATTAATACAATTACTTGTGATTTCACCAACTCGATATCATATAACCTATGTCAACTCAACCATTCTTTTGCCACGTGATCAACATTTCTAACATTTTAAGTTAGAGGATCCAAGGTTTGAGATCGTTGCGTTGAAAAATAAGCAAAATATTTGAGAAATCAATTGAATGACACAAGAACCGTTAAAACGTCACCTGTGTCGTTCTGTCTATAAACATGAGTATACACAGCCACGATTCATCCATGCCCCAAAAACCAATAAGTTGAACTAATTTCAGTTGAAAGATGGGCATGCTGTTTACAAAAGTTGAGAGATGCGCTCATTAATTATATTTTCTACAAATCAATACAATGGCTTATGATTTCACCAACTCGTTATCGTATAACCTATGTCAATTCGACCTTTTTTTCTCATGTAATCAACCTTTCTAACTTTTTTAAATTAGGGGATCCAAAGTTTGAGGTCGTTGCGTTAGAAAATAAGCAAAATATTTGAGAAATCAACATAACGGCACAAGAGCCGATAAACAATACTTATGTCGTTCTGTCTATAAACACAAGTATACGCTGCCACGACCCATCCATTTCTCGAGAACCAATAAATTGAACTTATTTAAGTTAAAAGATGAGCATTCCGTTTACAAAAACGTGAGATCTGTTCATTAATTGTATTTTCTAACGAATCAATACAATGACTTGTGATTTTACCAACTCGATATCATATAACCTATGTCAATTCAACCGTTCTTTTGTCACGTGATCAACCTTTCAGACTTTTTAAGTTAGAGGATCCAAGGTTTGAGATCATTGCGTTGAAAAATAAGCAAAATATTTGAGAAATCAATAGAATGACACAATAGCCATTAAACGTCACTTGTGTCATTCTGTCTATAAACATGAGTATGCGCAGCCACGACTCATCCATGCCCTAAAAACCAATAAGTTGAAATAATTTCAGTTGAAAGATGGGCATGCCGTTTACAAAAGTTGAGAGATGTGCTCATTAGTTATATTTTTTACAAATCAATATAATGGATTATGATTTCACCAACTCGATATCGTATAACCTATGTCAATTTGACCTTTTTTGTCACGTAATCAACTTTTCTAACTTTCTTAAGTTAGGGGATCCAAAGTTTGAGGTCGTTGAGTCAGAAAATAAGCAAAATATTTGGGAAATCAACATAACGACACAAGAGCCATTAAATGACACTTCTATCGTTCTGTCTATAAACACAAGTATACGCTGCCACGACCCATCCATTCATCGAATACCAATAAATTGAACTCATTTAAGTTAAAAGATGAGCGTTCCGTTTACAAAAATGTGAGATCTGCTCATTAATTATATTTTCTAATGAATCAATACAATAACTTGTGATTTTACCAACTCGATATCATATAACTTATGTCAATTCAACCGTTCTTTTGTCACGTGATCAACCTTTCTGACTTTTTAAGTTAGAGGATCCAAGGCTTGAGATCGTTGCGTTGAAAAATAAGCAAAATATTTGAGAAATCAATAGAATGACACAAGAGCCATTAAACGACATTTGTGTCGTTCTGCCTATAAACACAAGTATATGCAACCATGACCTATCCATGTCTCGAGAACCAATAAATTGAACTCATTTAAGTAGAAAGATGGGCGTTCCATTTACAAAAGTTGTGGAATGTGTTTATTAATTATATTTTCTGTCGAATTAATAAAATGACTTATAATTTCACCAATTCTATATCGTATAATCTATGTTAAATCAACCATTCTTGTAACGTGGTCAACCTTTCTATCTTTCTTAAGTTAGGGGATCCAATGTTTAAGGTCATTACGTTGAAAAATAAGCAAATTATTAGATAAATCAACAGAACGGCACAAATGTTGTTAAACGACATTTATGTTGTTCTGTCTATAAACACTAGTATATGCAGTCATGACACATTTATGCTATGAGAACCAATAAGTTGAACTCATTTTAATTGTAAGATGGATATGTCATTTACAAAAGTTGAGAGATGTGTTAATTAATTATATTTTCTAACAAGTCATTACAATGACTTGTAATTTCACCAACTAAATATCTTATAATTTATGTCAATTCAACATTTTTTGTCACGTGATCAATCTTTTTGACTTTTTTAAGTTATAGGATCCAATGTTTGAGATTGTTATGTTAGAAAATAAGTAAAATATTGAAGAATTCAACAGAACAGCACAAGTGTCGTTACTGATAATGAAACAAATAAGTGTCGTTACTGATAATGAAACGATATTTGTGTCGTTCTGTCTATATACACGAGTATAAACAACCACAGTTAGTTCGTGCCCTCGATAATCGATAAGTTAAACTTATTTAAGTTGCAAGATAGACATGTCTCTTACAAAATCTGAGAGATATATTGCATATTTATTACTTTAATCGCCTATTTATTATTATGTATATATTGTACTGGTACTTTCACCAACTCGATAACATATCAGATATATCGTTTCAATCGTTTTTTATGACATGGTCAACATTTATATGTTAAATACATTAGATAATCCATTATTAGAGATATTTTCATTGAAAAACCAAATTACAGTAGATAACAACTGTAATGTCGTCTTCTGTAGCAGAAAACGGCTGGAGTGCCGTTCTACCTATTAGATAACAGTTGGAGAATCATTATTATCTTATAGTTACAGACAACACAAAATATAGCACCAACTAAAATATTATTCAATAAAATGTACAATATACATGAAATTTCTAAAAGTGTATTTTTCCTTTCTTCAAATGTAATGAAATTTCTCAATGTAGATAGAATGTTTATCAAACTCTTGTTCAAATGCTCAAAAAATACTTAAAATATGTGAAGAATATAATATATAAGAAAATTTTAGAGTAGCAAGTATGGTAGTTGAATATGAGAAAACACGTAATTGTGATTTGAAAATCTAATCTTGAATTTGGAAATTAATTGGATTGATATGGGTGTTAAAGTCTTTTCTCATGGTAGGGATATTTTTGACATTTGACATTATTTATATATTGTATTTCATAACTGGAGGTCACTTGACCAAGAAATATTAAGAGAGGGATAATTAACCAAATACATTGCTTGACTACACTCTTTAATCAACTCCCCCAATTTAATTTCATAAAGTTGGACGTATATGAATCACATCACTACGTTGTAGAAACTTCTTCCCATAGTGGGAAATGGTCATGCGATTATAACAAAATAGTGAGATCTATTTTCACTCTATAAGTTGAGGACTAATTTTCGAAAGCTAAAAAATTTAAGACGACGTCGTAGAGCAGGCTTTTGCTTGTCGTGCAATATATCGTATCGTACGACTACAAATATATATACAACTGCTCTGTTTCTGAAATATCTACGCTCTCAAATTTGGGAAAAATCAATCGATTAGCTGATTGCTCCTTTCTATTATAATCTGTAAGTTGATTCTCATTGCATTCCTGTTTTTCTTCTGTAAATACACGTAATCTACAAAACAGATAGCCACAACGAGTCTAGGAGGGGCTAGGGTTTGAGGTTTTACTGTAAAATTTGATTTATGCTTCTATATACTTATTGCTATATAAATCATTGTATATTTATTGCATATGGTATTTTGTGTTGGAGACTAGGCATGGCGACCGAACAACCAAAGCCGGCGACTGAGGACCCAAAGATCGATCTATTTGAAGACGATGACGAGTTTGAGGAGTTCGAAATTGGTCAAGGTAATTTTTGGGATATTTACGCGCTATTTATGTCATTATGCCTTTCTCCTATAAATTTTAAGTGTTATGTTTGGATATACTTGATTGAATGAAGTTCAGCTGTTTATTTGGATTAGTGTCTCTGAAATATCTTATTCCCCGATTCATTTGAGGTACATATATAAATGGTAAATTTTGGATTCTACTTTTATGAGGTAACTTGGGTTAAAAACCATTATAATTGTTGAAAACCCCCATTATTAATAATACATAGCAATCAAAAACTTCACTCGCTTTATATGACTAAAAGTGAGATGCGCTATCAAATTCCATTTTGTCCCTTGTTCCCTGAATTACGCAACCCAGCGAAGCTCTAGGTTGTGGCAAACTTTCAAAGCAGTTGTATTATCTTTCAAGTGGGAAAAGATCTACATAGTTACGAAGATAATAATATTCTAATCCATGTAACTGAAATGAGGAAGTAAACCAATGCAAGTGCTATGCTATTTTTTAAGTGAAAAAAATTTCGAAGGGGGGTAACTGTGAGATATACATTGATGTAATCGTCTACTAAGTCACCATTGGATTTACAAGGTTATCTCTAGACAATACTAGTGGCTCAGAGTATCATCAAGAATAAGCATCTATTTCAGCATGGTCAGCTATGTTTAGTCTTTTGCCTTTTTGACTTCTTTTGTTGCTTCTTAGGATGATTATGCCAGGTCATTCAGCCAGTTGATTGCAGATATCTTTACTATGTAAATTTGCTAACATAGAGTTTGGAGAATGGCTTCTGGTAACTTATCTAAGTAGGCAAACCTATTGATTTGAAGTGTAGTGAGAACAGTGGCCTCATAAGAAGACACTAATTAATTTTGTACTCTATCGTCCGTTGCAGTGATAGTCAAGGAGGAACTATCAAGCCCAGATTCACTCACAATTAGACCCCTGGACATGAATGCATATGTCAAGGACCCATGGTTCTTCTAGATTGCAAGAGGAGAAAATCCAATTTCTAGAGCAAAACATCATTTAGAAGTAAATTCAACGTAGAAGGCTTCATGCCATGAACTCGAAAAGTCAAAAGTATACTTGCTCATGAGACTAATATCTAAGCAAAATGTAAAGAGTTGACTCTCTTGACCTGTCATTTCCAAATATACTACATGCAACCATGTGGTTAGGAAAGGACTAGAGACCATGAATCTGCCTGATACGCTTATGTGAGAGAACAAATGAGGGTCCTTAATAGTGGAAAACAATATCCTTTTCTTTCTCACTAACAGGCCGGTCTCTACTGTTTCAAAGATCGCTGCCAGGTGGTGAAGAGCACTGCTTGGCTACTGAAACTTGGCATTTATTATTACCGTTGACACTTGTATTCATAACCTTACAACTTCTTAAATCCCGCTTATGACAATATAGTTCTACCTCTTTTTGTACATCCTTGACAATTTGCTCTTTGTAATAGTCCACTCAACCGTTGTTCATAGTAATATATGGATTACATACATATGTACATATATTTAACACACACACACATCAGGCATTGTTAGGTGTCTAGAAGTAGTATGAGTTTGGCGTGCGCTTGGGGAATGCTCTTCTCAAGTGAAATTTTGGTTGTCACTAAGACCCTTTTTCTTATGTGTTGTTCAATTTATAATGGAGCATGTACCATCATAGTATTACTGGAATTTTTTTGTTTACTGGATAAGATGGGGGGAAAAAAGAAGCCTTACCGCATAATATGCCTGAGATTATATATTTGTTAGAACCAATCCTAATATGAGTCAAGAGTCCTTAAGCATTCAAAAAAGTGTAATTCAAATGCAGATATGTTAGATGTCTCCGATACCAGTTTAATCTGTGCATCGATACTGCTGTTGTGGAACAGATTTAATTTCTCTGAAAGTTTTTTCTTGTTTTATTCCTCTGCACTTTCAAATCTTTGGGTCGCCGATTTTGAGATTTTGAGTTTCAATACAATGTAGATATTTTCAACAGTAAAGCATCATTTCTCTGATTATTTTGTTAATTATTCATGTGAATTTGGTAGAGTGGGATGACAAAGAAGAAGGCAAAGAAGTGACTCAGCAATGGGAAGATGATTGGGATGATGATGATGTTAATGATGATTTCTCCCTGCAGCTTAGGAGAGAACTCGAGAGCAACACAGAGAAGAATGAAGCCAAATCTACATGAAACAGTTGTCTTAAGCGAGATGCTTGGTAGATTTTCGATCAAAAATTGGGTTTGTTGTTATTTTATATGACCAGCTGTTGCTGAAACATCTTTAATTCCACCTTCTGAACTTCATAATGAAATTTACCGGTTGTGAGTTGTGAAGTTAGCTGCTATTCTATTCTTATACTCAGGCACGTGTCTATACAAACATAAATAAATAAATATTGACCAATTGAATTTCCAAATTGCTGGAAATTGGTGGCGGATTAGTGGAAATGATGATTTGTGCACCAAAATGTTGATTTGATGCGCTTGTGCCAAGAATAAAGACGAGTCCTGTTTCCACAAAGGATGGGGAACATTTGTGCAAATTAAAAAATAAACAACCATTGCACTAACACTTTGCACAAATTAAACGAACTAATACACGAGAATCAAATATCATCAAATAACCATTAATTAACATCATAAAAGGGACAAAATTTTGTCAGGTGTGACTGTTGAAATGGGCAGGGTGCCATCTGCGAGCCAAGATTCAGAAAATTGGAGTCCGACAAACAGGCGAAGCGGCAATGTGAAGGGCCGAAGGCCAAAAGCTGCAAGCCTGTGACTCGGAAAATCTTTGAGAAGGGCCGAAGGATTTGAGACTTTGGGTGCTGGTAATTTGATAAACATGGTTAGAAGAATAATCACAAATTATATTTGTTATGAATAGGGATCGCAAGATATGACAATAATGAAATAAAACGAGAAAGTAAATAACACAGAGATTTAGGTGGAAAATTCAATTCGGGAAAAATCATGGGCAAAGGAAGAGAAAATTCACCATAACCAATAGGAATGCGTTTATAATGTCAAGACTCAATACTCTCAATTGAATTTAAGCTCAAAAGATGTTGTAGATTTGTTCTCTCTCAATCTCTCAAGATTTTCTTGTCATAATGTCATATAATGCAATACACAACAGTTTGTATTTATAGGGATGCCCAAAAAACCTAGTTGTAGACCAACAGGAATCCAAAATGCGTTAAATTGCAAAAAATTTGGAATTGCCCAGATAATATTGTTGCTCAAGCGACGTCCAGCGACAATCCGACGAGAAGCGGGGGAGGTTGTTCTACTTCAAGAGCTCGAGCGTCCATCTAGCGAACAGCTAGCAAAAATGCGGCAATCATTGTCTCGATCCAAAAGTTGATTTCTTCGATACCAACTCAACTACTACTCCTTAAGCTCCAAGAATTTGGGTCAAACTACAACAATCTCCACTTTGAGCCAAATTTTAGATATAAGGAATTTCAAAATACACATCTCCAAATAAACACCACTCCACTTCTTCCAAGCCCCATGGGCTAAATCAATGACAAATGCTTACTAAGTTCAAGCAATGCTCAAACTTAGCAATAAGAAGTGGTTTTGTCATCATGTCAGCAAGATTCTTATTGATATCAACCTTGCTCATTACAATGTCATCACGAGCAATTACTTCACGCACAAAATGGTACCTCACATCAATATGCTTAGTCATCTCATGGAACATCTAATCTTTAATTAGAAATATAGCACTCTGGCTATCACAATACACTGTAGATATTTGTAAATCTTCACTGATTTCACCAATTAATTCCCTCAACCACATAGGCTCCTTACATGCTTCAGTAATAGCCATGGACCCTACCTTTGTTGTAGACAAAGCTACTCCAAGGTTAAACATATATCTTGTGGAGTGATATCTTTTTGTCAAAATCCCCTGCATAGTCTAAATTCACATATCCCATGACTTCTTCTGAATTTCTTCCAAAATGCAGACAAGTATTTTAGAGCCTTTCAAGTATTTGAGGATCCACCGCATTGCGTTCCAATGTTTTTTTCCAAAATTTGTCATGTATCTGCCAAGTGCACATGCCAAATCAGGTCTTGTACAAACCATAATAGACATCAGTGAACCAACTGTACTGTAATAAAGAACTTTAGACATATACTCAATGTCTTCATCTGATTAAAGACACAAGTTTGCTGATAATCTGAAATGTACAGCCAAGGGTGTATTGACAATTTTTGCATTCTGCATATTGAATCTCTGAAGTACCTTTTCAATGTACCCTTTCTGACTCAAGTACAACCTGCCAGTCTTTTAGTCTCTCAAGATTTCCTTTCCAAGGATTTTCTATGCTGCTCCCAATGACGATCTCTGGTGTAGTGCTGGCCATGTGTGACGAGGAGTATACAGAGACAGAGGGTGAGTATGGGAAGAATAGGGAAAGCAAAGGGAGAAAATAATTAGGGTTTTAATTGGGTGGATGGAATAGCTTTAGAGTATGTAGTGAAAATTTATTAATATTTATATATATATATATATTAAAATATAAAAATTGTTACATGATTTTTGCATAAATAATCTTTTAACCTTATTTTTGAAATTCAATCTTCAAACACTTGTATAGATGTAATTTCACTAATAATATTTGATTTTTTAACTGTCAAGAAAACGATTTTGCTAGAACTAGAACTACTCTCTTTTCAAAAAAGTAAAAATAAATAAATAAAATCATGGTTATGAAAGGTTGGGGACTCGGAGTACCGCAGAAAAGTTGTTCAGGATCCCATAACCACAAGACTCGAAGGTTGGGACCCTAGCTGGCGTGCTACATTTTACTTCTCGAACTCAGGCCCCTTTGAGTCTCTCTCTCTTTGCCATTTGTACACGCCCCTCACATCCCACGCCCAATTAAAAAAAAAGCGTGGACCTGAGAGACGTTTACATGTAGCACAGTTGTTTCTATAAACTAAACTATACACGAGGGTTTTATGTAGGGTTTAAGAAAAGTTTGAAAAGATCAGAACCAACTGAAAATTATTAAAATGGGATTGGACAAAGGGAAGAAGCAGAAATTGGGAGAAGTGAAGGAAGAAAACAATGGGACAGAGCATATTGATGGGGAACTCGTTATCTCCATTGAAAAGCTCCAAGAAATACAAGATGAGCTGGAAAAGGTGATTTTTTTCCTGCTTTTTTCCCCAATTCTCTGCCGGAAATGTTAAAAATTTTGTGGGAAATTATTGCTTCTAATCGTTATTAATTGTTTGAGGGTTTCTGAACAGAACCCAGAACTTATTGTGCTTTATCCCCGGTTCGTTTGTAAATTAAGTGAATAATTTTTAAGTTGCTTCTTTCATTTTTTATCATTATTTGTGGGGTTCTAAAGATACTCCAGATTTATTTTGATTGTTTTTCTTCAAGTAACTATGTGGATACTGCTTGGTGGGTATTTTTTTTTTAAATCTATTCCGTTTGTTCTTTGTTGGGTTCTGATTATTCTGTGAGGGAAAGTTATTTAGAGTAACTCAATTTTAATTGCAAAGAAAGAACGCAAATTTTCCTGAAATGAGCTCATAAAAGAGGTTTTGTTGGCTTTTTTGGAGAGTGAATGTTAATACAAATCAAATTATTGTTGAAGAATTTTGTTCTTTAAAATGTTTACTATTCAGAGTAATTATCTAAGAAGCTGTTGCTTTTCAACTTCCTCTGCATTTTGTTCTTACATTATCTGGGCTTTCTAAAGAAAATATAATTAGTCATTTTTTGTCAAAACCAAGCAAAATACATATATCCTCTTTTGAGAAATAGATTTGAAAGTGGTTAATTTCAAAATTGTGATTCTTGTTTACTTAACCAATTACTGAATTCTATCTTTTCGGAATCCAAGCGGTTGGGAAAATAATTTTGCACCTTCGGAGGAATTATGAACCAAATTTGAAGATTTCTAAGTTTGCATCATGAATATACACGATGATATTTCAAATATCAAATATGTCGTAATTGTTTCATCACTGGTCTTGATATCTTTGTGACATTCATGGTTAAAAAGTGAATTTTGTCTTAGCTAGAAAAGCAGAGATATCATAATATTATATTGGGTTTATTTACTTTATGTTTGCAGATCAATGAAGAAGCAAGTGAAAAGGTTTTGGAAGTGGAACAAAAGTACAATGAGATACGGAAGCCCGTCTATGATAAGAGAAGTGATGTCATAAAATCCATTCCTGACTTCTGGTTGACTGCAGTTAGTGATTCATTACAGCTAGCTTTCTTAAAAGAATGCGCACTTACCTTCCCGTCTGTGGAGATTTATTGATGTGGAAATTCTAATACTATTTTTAGCTTTCATAATCTCTTTGAATCAAGTTAATGTCTCTTGTTTTTCTCCAGAACTTCAATTCAAATCCATATTTTGAAGATACAAAGCTAACAAAAACTTTTACCTTCCTCGAAGAAGGAACAACAAAAATCACTGCCACGTCAATAAAATGGAAAGAGGGAATGGTAAGTTTTTATGTCATTGTACCTTGACTTTTCTGATTCATGTGAATTTAAAGTAATTGTGTTTTCTGATTATGAAGGGCATTTCTAATACTGATACTGAAGAGAAGAAAGGGAACAAGCGATCTCATACTGAGGAAAGGTTGACTTGTCTACCTCTCTGGGTTTTCTATATTGTGTAATAGTGCCTTAGTTGAATACTGTTTTACCATGTCCAGAGGTTTAAAAATCTTAGCTAATACATACTGTAAATTATAACTACTGTTTATATTGTCTAGGCATTATAGATTTTACTGATTCAATAAATGGGGCATTAATTTTCTCACAGTTATTATGGGGTAGGACTTACAACCTAGACCATGGAAGTTTTATGTTCCACAGAGTCAGGTATCTGTGTGGCTTTAAGGTTGGTTTTCAATTTTTGGATATGGGTACTTGGATATGACGTAAATTGACAATGTAAAAAGAGCTAGAGTGGTTAATTTTCAAAAAAAAAAAAAAAAAAATTACATGCTAGAATAAAATAAGATACGAGAGTAGATACTCCTTGTCACTTGATAAATTTTTTTAGTTGGCTAGTCCAGGACATAGCGAATGCTTTTAAAGGGTCTTCTAGTATTCGCATGATGTGTTAACTATGTCCCCGTTTGGCCCCTATTAAATTAAATTTCATTTTTCTCCCTCCTATTTTCAACCACACAATCTTCCATAAAATAATATTACATGTAAATCGAAAACTTTTCTTTCTTTTTCAACTACCAATTCACTAAAAAAAAAAAAATACTATTCCACCCATTATAATTTGAAATAATGGGGGCCAAACGGGGGCTATGTGTACATGTTAACCAAATTATTCGTGTAATGATGTTGGCAGTTACAACAACTGTGCAAGTTCTCATTATTTCTTAGTTTTTAATTGATAGTCTGAATCCACATTTAAGATGCCATATTTTGTTTTGCTACTATTGCAGTTGGAATCATCTCACTCATGGGTTTGCGATTTCCATTCCTGTTGAATGACCTGTTTGTTTTAGTCATTCTCATGCTAAAGAGCACAGGGAGTGCCTGTTGACGACATTTTGTGCTATCAATCTGCTCCGTTTACTTTCCTTGTGAATTTCATAGGCTTTTGGAAGGGACTCTTGTACTCTGCTTTTATTTATGTTTCTTTTGATGGCAATAATTGGTAGTAAAGAGTATACTGCATTTGAGTTTTTTTGTTGTTTATCAAGATCATGGTGTGCAATCACTGACATGCAATGATCCTAACATGATGCCTGGATTTTGTTTGTTGTACATGTTATCACCATGATGATATGCTTTAGCTGGATAATCTAGATACCTTCTGTGATTTTTAGCTCAGTGGTTTTGAATTAAAACGAAAAATGTAAAATCTCTGTGCACTTTTGGTTGCTCATTTTTTGCACTGTTTTACAGCTTTTTTACCTGGTTTAGTGATGACCAACAAAAAGATGATGTGGATGAGATTCACGATGAGGTAAATTCTGCCACATGCCAATTATTTCATGAGCTTGAGGTTACTATTACACTGATGTGGGACATAAGTCTTCTATTATATATTTTCATATTCACACATTTTGAAGCAAATATTTCTTAGCAGATTGCTGAATTAATCAAGGATGATATCTGGCCAAATCCTCTTACATACTTTTTCGATGTAAGCTTCTGTTCACACCCATCTTCCGTAGTTGTTCATGACATATTGATGCAAGTTAATTACCAACTCCATATACTTTGGAGTGTTTGTGATGTGACGGGTTGTGTTGTGTTGTATACCCTTTCTGCAGGAGGCAGACGAAGAGGATTCTGACATGGATGATGGTGGTGAGGTTAGTGCATTCGAAATTATTTCTGTATTCACTTTTTTACCCACTGTCTAGAAGTTGCAGTACAAGCGTATGATGTCCAATTTGCCTTATCACAATTTCCTGTTTTTCTGCAAACAGGTGTGTTTATTGCATACCTAGACGTCTTATCCTCACTTCCTGCTTTTTTTTTTCTTTTTTTTTTTTTTCATGGGCACTTTTTGTTCAAATTTTAGAAGCTAGAAATTACTTGATATTTGCGCTGCAGTTTTAGTTTTTGAATTCCTTTATCTTATATATTAGTATAGCTTTGAGAAGTTCCTTATATAGCTGCTCAGACTCAACATCCCTTATTGCCTCATGACTGGGAAACGTTTTAATATGGTAGTCAAAAGGTGTGGAATTAATAACTGGAATATGGAATCTGCCATATATGTGAAAGTTGGTTCAGTAAATAGGCCATCAGTCCTGGTATCCTCCTCATCGTTGTAGCTGTTATTGTGCTTTGTTATGAGCTGCTTGCTGATTGGTTGATAGAATTTGAGGGTTCATTAAGAAATCTACAAGAATTCCTCATAATTGATGTAGATTTTATTGCAGGTGACAAGAATATATAGTAATAGATAGACCACTAGACCTAGCAAATTTTCTTTGCCATCTAGCGACTACATTTATTTTAAGAAATATGCACTATGGCAAAGTCTTTATACTCCCGATCAAGCTGAAGCCTATAGAGAACCCATTTGGCATAGCTTTTGCATTTTCTTTTACTTCTGCATCTGTAGAAGAGTTTCTGGACGAAGTCACTTTAATTTTTGTTTGAAAACTAATTTTTAAAAGAGCTTGCTATTTGAGAATTGCTTTTACCTGCTTCTTCTAAAAGCTTTTCTAAGTAGAAGCACTTTCATAAAATTAGTTAAACGGTTCCAAAAGATGCTTTTGGATCTCAATAGCTCTATTGGCTTTTTAAAAACCATGTCAAACAGGCTCAGAGTATCTGATGTAGGGAGATTACTGAATTAGTAAATAACAAGAAGGGAAGGGGAGGAGAAGAGAAGAAGAAGGCAGAAACGGGGAGGAGGAGAGAAAACGGCCAAGCCAACTTTGTAATTCTTAATCAATTCATCAACCGAGAAATTACAAATCAATGATAGGTTTAAATAATGAAAACCTAGAAATATAGGGCCAAGCCCATTATTCAAGTCCTAATTAAAATACGTAAACTTAAATAAAAGTCCAACTAAAATACTGAAACAATAATAAAAGTCCAACTATAAAGGATGTCCTCATCAACTCTCCCGGGGTGGGAGAAAACTCGACCCTGTCGAGTGGATATAACACCGTAGACTCTCGTCAATCTCCCAACCATAAGCTGAGTGGTTGGGCAAGTGTCTTCTGGCGTCTGTAGAAATGCGTCAGTGGCGGTCTGAACCTGGTGTCCTCATCAACTCCCCTCGGGTGGACGGGAGGCGATCTGGACCAAGGAAGATCCTGCTGACTCCGATAAAGCTCTAGCAAATCTGGATCCAAAAGCTGTAGTGTTTCCCTGGAGATCCATGCACAATCAGAATCTGGTCGACCAACCCAACGAACAAGGAAGCGCTGAACCTCTCCATCACTAGTGAACACAATTTTTTCATCTAAAATAGCATCAATTTTATCTGTGTGTGCTGTGAGAGGTGGTAGTGGGTTAGAGGGGGCCAAAGAATTAGGATCAAGGTCCACAAAAGGAGGTAACAGGGGATCATCTGAGGGAATGAAATGGCCTTTATAAGCTACAAGGTCTTCAACATTGAAAGTATGGTGGTAACCAATGTGGGATGGAATGTCAACAATATATGCATTTGGACCAACTTGCTTTAAAATTTTAAAAGGACCAGCACTACGAGCTTGCAATTTGGAGGCGGGTCCAT